AGTGTCTGTAATGCACATCACCACCAGCATTCTCTGGCTAACTATTCTAACATGACAGCTATTTCCCTCACAGACTGCTGCCTGCTCAAAGGCCAGCACCTGTCGTTTTTATGTAGCAGTAAGCAACGAGCACTCTCTCCTCACCTATGCCACTGTATAGACTTCGTTGTAACTACAGGATCTGTGTTCCCTGAGAATGGACAGCTTGCATCCCACAGCTGGTATCCTTTTCCAGGAGGGGAAGGAGGGCAAAATACTCACTTCAAAGAACATAAGAAAACTTGCAAATCTTGCAGCCTACTTTGCATTTAGCTTTAAGCGCTCACTTGAAGCACTCGACATCCTAACTTCTGAAGCACATGATTAGAAGCTTGAACTTGAGAAGCACAACAGAGAGGGATGAAAGAAGCTTCATCCTTTTCACGATTAGTTTCCAACCCTATTCTTTGTCATATTGAAGCAAAGAATATGGGGAAAAAAAGCTTTTGGGAGGCAGGACACAACTTTATTTCTATTCCTTATTGCTTAGCAACCTCAAGCAACTTCCACTGACAGGTTTTTCCTGCCACTTTAGACACCACAATCTTTCAGCAATGCTTGTATTTTGTCACTGAGAACACCAACAATGCAAGTGAAAATAAGAGCCATTTTTATGTGCATGCCAGGTGACAAAGCTGTCACTGACACTGTGTCTTGTGGAAGTCACTTAGCTTCTCTGAGACTTTGTCCAGTGCTTTGTAAAGCAAGGAGATAGGATTCAAAGGTATGTGTTTTTATGAATCTATATATCATTAGACATTCTCATGTGTTGGGTCAAAACACTCTTGGAATCAAAAGCTCTAATGAAAATTCTAAATATATACTGACTGAAAAACATTTGTAAAATAACTATGTAAAGAAGAAAAAAGAAAGTCATTGTTAAGGCTTATATCTAGAGGTTCCCCTCAAAGCCTCATGTGCTCATGGGTGGGGCTCTGGGGGAGTGACTGGATCGTGAGGTGCGATACTCACAAGTGGATTAGTCTCCTTAGTTTATGGCTGAATGTGATGTTGGGAGGTGAAGCCTAGTTGGAGGAGGTGGTCACTGGGGCTTGGCCTGGAAGGGTCTATCTCCCTCCTCCTCCCTTGATCTCTCTCCTTCCTGCCACCATGCCATGAACTGTTCCCTTCTGCCATGCTGCCCTGCCTTAGAGCCAGCTGACTATGGACTGAGGCCTCTACCAACTGTGAGCCAAATAAACCTTTCCTTCTTAGAGCTGTGGGTGCTGAGTATTGTCTCACAGCAACAACCCTAAGACACTCAGTATTCTATCATCCACAGGCCTCATTAAGGGTTCTAGAGCAGCTAAAAAAGTCACTGACAGGTTTGAAAGAAAGATGCTGTTAGTGTATCACTGATTTGGATCTCATTTTTATTTCCAACATAGCATCATCAATTCATTCTCTCCCTCTTCTGCTGTACAGTTATTTTTCTGTACGTTCTAATGAAGCTCAATCGGTATTCAGGTGGTGCTGAGCACTGTATTAGGTACATTTTCCACACATGACCCTTAAGATCTAATAGGTAAAATTCAAACACTTTGGCAAAATCTGGTCCCAGCTGTCCTTTCAAAATCCACTGTCCCCACTCCAAATTACTCTTGCTACACCAGCTGCCTTGAAGCTGCTCACTCAGGTGTGAAACAGGTAGGATGGCCCAACCAGGCTGGGCATGGACAGTCGTGGTCCTGCAGCATTTCTGGGTCACTTGCACCAGGCTGGCTAAGACCTGGTACCCAGACAGCATCTGGGCAGGAATGAGGATGTAGCATTCTATTGGTAGTGGGTGTCATCCCACAGAAGACAGAGTAAACACACTTCAACTACCTCTACCCTCTCTTCCACTAAATGTAGCTACAAAAGACAATACAGGCTTCAAGTATTTGAGGAATGGAAAGAAAATAGGAGCAGGAAAATGAGGAAGAGCAGAACTGCCAATAGCACCGCACTGGTGGTAAGTTAAGTATCTCTTTCTGCTATCTCCCAGTGAAGGCAGCAACTGTTGAGACCTGGAAGAGGGCACAGGAGCCCAGAAGCCTTCCTGCTCATCCCTGAGTGGGTGGGAAAGGGAATGTTAACAGTCAGAGTGGGAAAAGCTTCCCCTTCTCTTAGCTCTTTCTTCTTTTCTTTGTACCCTCTCTCTCTCCATCACTCTCCCTTCCTTGCTTTGTTGTTGTTATTTATATCAACAGTCCCAAAGCAATTCTACAGGAGGACTCAACAGCAACAACAGGAAGCTACAGAAGCCAGAACTTATATACAGAGCAACGCAACTTATCCATTCTCAGGAGCAGAAACTAGGAAGGGGGAGGAGTTTACAGCCTGAGATATCTGTGGAAAAAATAAGAGAAAGCCTAAGAACTGTAGTGTCAGAATCCTAGGAAAGGGAAAAGGTACAGTGCAGAAGACATGTTAAAGAAATAATGGCTGAAATTTTCCAAATTTGATGAACACCCAACCCTACAGATTCAAGGTGCTCAGTGAGTCCCAAATGGTATAATCCCAAAGAAATCCAGACTCAGATATATCAGAATCAAAGTGCTGAAAAGTGAAGGCAAAGAAAATAGTCATAAAAGCAAACAGAGAAAAATAACCCATGTTTTATGAGGGGACAACTATTCAGATAACTGTAGCTCTCTCCTAAGCAGCCATGGAGACCAAAAGAAAGCAGAACAGTCAGAAAAGAAAGTCAGAAGTCTAGGGGCAGTAGAAACATCTGCTAGCAATGATAGTGACACAGACATTTTCAGATGAAGGAAAGCCAGAGAGTGTGTTGACAGGAGACCTGCTTTCAAACAATTGCTAGAAGGTCTTCAGACAGAAGGAAAATAGTACGAGAAGAAAACGTTTAGCATAATACTTACAGGACAAGTGTTAGTTACATGTGCCCTCTAGTGGTGTGTGTTATGTACAAGTACCAGACACCTACAAAAGATAAAACCTAGCTAAGTGTTTAAAACCAGAAGCCAGCTGGTTGAGATCCTTATGATATGAGAAACATTATCATATTCTTCTATAAAGCTCATAATTTTCAAGAGCTGGAGGACTTTTTTACCTTAGGATATTTGTGAAACTTTCCACACCAAATCCCAATATTCCTGTATAACTAATCTTTCCTCTTAGAACTGGGACACTTTTAAGTTTGCTTTAAACAACATGCAAAGTAACCACTGTTCATCCAGTTAATATAATATGGCACCAGGTAATGGAAATAAAATGAAAAACTTATTACACAATTCATTATGCAATTACACACAGATTTGAAAGGTGCCATCCAGAAAGACTGCCGTAGGTGTACAATAGGTTCCTACTGATAGAGGGTTGGTCTAGTCTAGGATAGTGGAATTTTGGAAGTGAGAATGAAATCTGAAAAGCCTTGAAACACAAGAGTTTAATCAGAAGAAAAGGGGTACCAAAATAATACATGCAAAGTCCTAGAGATACTTGGAAAGACTGAAGGATGGTCCCTATGCACAGAGTTCAAAAGAGGTTGAGCTTGTACAAGGTGAGGCTAGCCAAGTACCAGGAGTCTGAAGTTCATCCTGAGAACAATGAGAAACAATGGAAGGGTTTAACAATCTGATTTGGTAGTCTGATTTACATCTCCCAGTGTTCACTTGGAAAGGCGTGGAAAATGAATTTGAGGGAGTAAGAACGGATGCCCACACTAGCTGAAGCAATGCAAAAAAGACATGACAAACGCTGAGACAGGCAGGTGGCAGCAGAGATAGAAAACTGACAAATACTTAGGAGGTGAAGCGGTTAAGCGTGACGATATGGATGGCGTAGAGTTCTGGGGAACAGAGACAAGGTGACCACTTGACTTTCTCACCAACACAGTGGCTGGGGAGACCCAGGACAAACAGTGAGTTGTTGAGAGACAAAAGTTTCCCTCTTAAAAAGCGAAATTTTTGACTGCAAAGCGCACTACTTTGTTGAATACTAGGACTGGCAGAGGACCATGAAGTTCCCCCAGCAGAGCCTCTGCTTTAATCAGTGCTCTACCCCACTGCACTCATAACCTCACCTCGCGCTGCTAGGCATGTCCTCAAGTCCCTGCCACCCGCAATTTCACCAGATTTTTGCTGTGTACTTCGAAGTCCAGCTCAAAAGTCACCTCCTTGTGGAGAACACCTTGAAATAAGATGGAATTGTATAACCCTAAAGTGTGCTGCAACCCTAAAAGTGTGCTGTGACTTTAAGTGTGCTGTAACCATAAGATATGAAAGTAGAATCTTAAGCGGTATGGAACTGATAAGGGTGTAGCCCAAACTGGACGGGGCGTACCCTGAATTGGACACAGGGCATACCCTGAATTGGGCAGAGTATGCCCCAAACTGGACAGTGTGATAAGTCTGAACCAAAACCACAAATGCCCAGTTAGAATAGTATAAAAGGAGCTGAAGACTCCAAGCAAGTCGTCGATCCATCCACCAACCAGTCGACCAGTCGATCTGCTGATCTGACTACCCACCGAGACATCTGCACACCTGATCCCGCTGGAAGGAGCAGCGCCGCCGACCAGACGAGACCAGAGGACGAGGCAAGCGGAGAGACGGACAGCCTAGCGCCGACTCGACGCCCTTCGTCTACGGATCGGACCCTCTGACCCCACGGGAGGAAATGTCGCGCTCCCACAAGGACTTGCGCAGTACAGGTACAGGGACGAGGTAATTGGCAGACTTAATATTGTGTGATAATTGTATTGAAGTGAAGTGTATTGAAGTGAAATCATAACAATATAGAATAAGTGTGTGAACTGCCACCCGAGTCTGAGTCCTCTTTACCCATCGTACCTGCTCACGACAGCTGGCGTAGTCGGCAGGATCTGTCGAAGCAGGCCAGAATTAGTTTAAAGGGATAAGGTCTTAAGGTCAGAGGTTAAACTTAAGGACAAATACCATTTGTGAATCGGAGAGAGAGAGAGGAGGTACTTGGGAAGGACAACTCTGGAAACTCACCAATCTGGAGGAAGACCCGGACCAAACTTCCAATCTCAAACTGACACCCAAATAGAGGAGTCTCAGGACGGTGTAAGCCAACTCCGGAGCTCTGGTCGGGGCTGAGAAACGAGGAAGAGCCGCGCACCATTCTGGACTCCATAGCCCTAGAAAAGATCTTTTTTTTTTTTTTTTAGGTATACAATATAATGACATTCATCATTGGAAATTTGCACCTTTACATAGTCTCTCTTGGTTCTTATTTTTCACCCTTGCCCAGCCCTCCCTTCAACCCCTCCATCCCTCCCTATTTACAAAGATTTTGTTCCTATTTTTCCATTTTCTCATATTAATCCCATTCCCTTCTATCCTTTCCCTTAGCCCTCCCACTTCCTTCCCCCTTGCCCCTTTTCTTCCTATTTCACATGACCTATTATACATTTAGTCCTTATTTACACTTTCAGTTTCTCACACCAGAGAAACTATTCGGTATTTACACGTGAGTCCTATTTATTTCACTTAAGAGTATCACCTCAATGTGCATCCACTTAGCTATAAATGTCTCTAATTTCTCATTTTTTATGACTGAGTCATAAAAAATAGAAAAGATCTTTATAGTACTACTAGCAGCAACTATAATCTCATTTGGAATTGCAATTGGCACAGCAGCCGAAAAGGGATATAAACTGGCATATCTGTCTTTATATTTCCTCATACTCATATTCTATAGCATCCTAAATTATTGGAATCACTTCTGAATAATCCCAAAAATCACAAAATGCTGGCTAAATTTAAAAAACAATCAAACCGAAACCAGATACTGTGGATACAGACAACGACCGATGGCAGAAGGCAAAAAAGATAGTCAAAGGAAAATGTAGATATAAGGAAGTAGATATAAAGGCTACATTAACAGATCCTAATGTGATACAACCTATATTAGAAAGAGCTTCACAACCTGAGGTCCCAAGCATATTGCTGAAAACAATAGATACAGATAACGATAGACTGAAAGGAAAAGCCATGGCTCAGAAAATAGTAGGAAAATTCAAGGGTACTAACTCATTTAAGCAGCTAGCCGAACGTGAGGGCCCGGCAGTCCCACCCAGAAAGAACTGGGAGGTTTTTCTGGTCACTAAGACTAGCATCAGTACTCCAAGTAGATTTACAAACCCACCGGTGGAAGAAGCTTCCAAAATAAGAGAGGAAATTAGACCTCTTAAAGGAACAGAGTTAACTCAAATAAGACAAGAATTTGCACAGAACGGTAAGGGGGACGCCTCATACTTACATGCAATGTGGGATAAAGGAGCAGATACTATAATGTTAACAAGTGGAGAAATGACTAGAATTAAAAATATAATAGAAAATCCTAGTGTACAGGAAAATCTACCACAGCTTATAGAGCACAATCAAGGTGAGACACATTCACTAATGGACTGGTATGCATATGCAGTACAAATGACATATCCTACAATAGATCTTACGAAATGGGAAGCAGAGACAAAATGGAATACATGGGATCAAGGAATAGACTTAGTCAGGACATTAGGAGTAATAGGAATGGTATATTCAAGAGCACTTACACCACATGAAACAATATTAACACCAGGTTTCAGGAAAATCATCCTAAAGGGAGCACCAAACCATTTAAAAATAATAATAAGACCAAATGTACAGTCAGCTAGAACAATTGGAGACATGATTAATTTTCTAAAAGAAAACAGAGAATTAGAAAAAACAAATGTCATGAGCTTTGCTGCAGACAATGTGACAAACAACAACATAAAAAAGAAAAAGGGAATATTCAATAGATTCAACAATGTACAACCAATGAGAAATGATAATAGACAACCAAATACAGGACAGATGAACAACCAACAATTTCAAAATGAGACAAGACAAGGAAGATACCAGCCCACATATCGTTATCCAAACAGATACCAAGGAAACAACAACAGAGGCACGAATTTTTTTTTAGGGAAAGGAGGTCTGGGCAGACAGTGGCCCAGACAGCCCAGACAGAATCAATACTTCAACCAACCCCGCAGATTCTATCAAGCAAGGATCCAAGGCCGTGGATTAGGATACCGATAATACTACACAAGAAACCCATACCAACAGCATGGCTAGTAGATACAGGGAGTGACATTAGCATATTCAAAGACATAATATTACCAAAGATACATAACACAAAAAACATGATACGAATACAAGGAATTACAGGAAACATAATTACACTAAACAAAATAAGGGCAAGATTAGAGATATACGACAAAATAATAGAATGCAAAATGTATACTGGAAATGTATCACACAATATATTAGGCATGGATATAATATCTAAGATATGGAACCATTGGAAATACATAAGAAATTGCATAAAACCAGAACACGTATGCCTAACACAAGTAAAAATAGATCCTATACAATTACCTCAAATACCAAACTCTTTCACAAGCCAATACCCAATCAAGGGTGGATTATAAGACATTACAGACACAATAGCATTATTACAAGAGGAAGATGTGATAGAACATACATCAAGCTTTAATTATAACAGCCCCATATGGCCAGTAAAGAAACCATCAGGCACCTGGAGACTAACAATAGATTATAGAAACATCAATAAATTAACTCCAAACATGCCAGGAAGTTTGCCAGAACTAGAAGATATTACAAAGAAAATTAACACATTTGCACCATCATTTCTAGCAACAATTGACCTAAAAAATATGTTTTTCTGTATACCATTACATGAGGATTCCAGGGCAATGACAACATTCACATGGGATAACAAACAATATAGATTTAAAAGATTACCACAAGGACATAAGAATAGCCCTATAATAGCACATAATGCATTACAATTTACATTAAACAAGATGCCAAAAGATAAAGACATACTGATACTATCATATGTGGATGATATATTGGTAGGAGGAAAGCAGGAAAAGAAAGTCAAAGACACATTAGACAAATTAGTACAAATATTAAGACAGGATGGATGGACAGTTAATGATGATAAAGTACAACAGCCTAGCACATCAGTTAAATTTCTAGGTATACAATGGACTATTGAGGGACCTACAATCCCACAAACAGTATTAGATAAAATACAAATAATTAAGGACCCTACAAATAAAAAAGAATTACAACAGCTATTAGGCCTTTTCAACTTCTGGAGAAATCATATCCCATATATCCAAAACATTGTGAAACCCTTACATAATATCACTAAGAAAGCATCTGATTTTAGATGGACAGAAAATGAAAAACAGATATTAAACAGTCTCAAAGAATTATGTGAGACATATAAATCATTAAATTACCCCAAACAGGGAGATATAATAGTTCTAGATATCTTATTCCACCAAGAATATAGAAATTGGAACCTATTTATAAAAAATAATACAGAATTAAGACCTGTAGGCTTTTTCTGTAAAAAATTCCCATGGTCAGACCATAAATATTCAATACTTGAAAAAACAATATGGACAACTTAGGAAGCAATTCGGACATGTAGCAGTTTACTAACTGACAGACCCATAATCTTTAGATCTGAGGTACCTATCCTCCGGTGGATACAATCAGACCCAAGGGAAACAGCCACAAGACCGCTGGATGCGAAAGTCGTACACTGGAAATGGTTCTTGGAGTCAGCCCTGAGCAGAGGGACAGTGGTAGCAAAGGGGTTGCTGCCCTCTCTATCCCAAAGTGCTCTGATGCACCAGGGGACGGATCCAGAACCCTGTGACATGATAAGTGCAACAGAGGAGCTGGGAAAACCTATAATCTCCCCGCCGGATATGATCACCCTACCCCAAAAGAGGCATGCACTTGGACAATGGGGACCACCTATATACGATAACTCCTTGCCTAACGCATGGTTCACGGATGGATCTGCGTCACAAAACGGTGGAACCATACACTGGAAAGCGGTGGCTTATAGACCTGGGGATGGTATGGTAAAAACCAAGGAAGGTACATCAAAATCTGCTCAACATGCAGAAGTATTAGCAGTAGCAATGGCATGTGAACAATCAAAATTGGAAAAACGAGAGAAAATATATATATTCACAGATTCATGGGTCGTAGCCAATGGTATAAACATGTGGGCATCTAAATGGAAGGAAAATTCTTGGAAAATCAATGATAAACCAATATGGTCGAAAGAAGCCTGGGAAACTACAGAATCAGCCTCCAGACAAATGAAAATGTATGTAACCCATGTCTCAGCACATACTAGAAAGAAAGACATTACATCAACACTAAATGATAAGGTAGATAAATTTAGTAAGATATGCACAACAACAGTCACACCTCTTAAACTTAGAAGACAGTGGAAAGCACAGCATACAGAACACGACAGAAACACAAAAAGAAACCAACACAAACAACTAACAACCAAAGTAAAAGGTACCTGGGAAATCATACCAAAACAACAACCAAGATTAACCAACGAACATATCCTACAAATCCATAAGATGTTAGGACACTTAGGAACCCATCCCACATTTAAATGGATCCAAGATAGACATTTACCATCAACATGGCACTCAGTAAAAAATGCAATAAAACTATGTAGAAACTGTCCTTCTAATAAATTAAAATTCAACCAAAAAAGAGTTGGAGAACTCATATACTAGACCAGGATTTAATAGGCTAGTACAAATAGATTTCATTGGACCACTAAAGGATAAATTAAATCTATATATGTGCACAATGGTAGACACAACAACAGGTTTAGGACTAGCAAGACATGGGAAGTCACCCACCTCCGGACTAACAATACTTACAATACAAACATGGATAGCACAATATGGTCACCCATAAATAATAGAATCTGACCAAGGATCACATTTCACATCAAAAATTGTACAAAAATTCACCAAAAGCGAAGGCATACTTTGGAACTTCCATTTACCATACAATCCAACAGCTAGTGGATCCATAGAACGATTTAATGCACTATTAAAAACTACATTACATAGTACAACAGGCACCATATCACACCAAATCGCTGAAGCACTTCACATATTGAACAACAGACCAAGACCATATAGAGGTACACCTATAGAAGAAGCATTTGAGAATAAACACAAACCATACATAATTCAAATGACAACACCAGATAAGAAAATATCAAGGAACTATAAAGCCATATACAAAGACCAT